GTTGTAATTCCAGTGTATTTTCTTTTATTTCTAATGCAATTGGTAAACTATGAGTTCTGAACAAAAGTTATGTCTTTTGAGTTAATAGTTATAGCAATTTGAGTAAAAGTTGTGCATTGACAGTTAATCTCAACTTACAAGCAATAATCTCAATTCTTTAGTTCATTTTTTCATGTTAAAAGGTGCACTCATTCTCTTACAAATTACTGTTAGTTCTAGATTACATCATTGATTCTTTTCATTGCTTTTTGTTTTGTGATGTTGAATGCTCTTTTATGTGGTTGGCATATATTGTAATATATTATCAAGGCTATTAGCTCAAGTGGTAAAGCAATGTGCCAATATGCACCAAGATGCAGGTTCGAGTCCCGCATAGCCTCTGTAATTACCACCTAAGATGACCATTCACTTGCTCTTACTGTTTTTTTGAAATTTGGGAGAACTTTAAGTTCACTTTTGCTTGTGTGAAGCTTCTTGTTACATATGAAATTTTATTTATAAAAACTATAAAACTTTATCAATTCTATCTTCTATGCACTTGAACTAGCATGTGGATAACCTTGTTTGTGCAAACAAGTTGTGGTGATTTGCATTTTTTCATGAGTTTTCATCTACTTTGCAGCTGCTACTTTTTTCATCTTGCTTTTTCCTTCTTTTTTCCCACCGTAAGTGCTTCATTTTTCCCTTTCAAAATTCAAACTGCTTGTTTTTTCTCTTATATTGCATCCACAATACTTCATTTCTTATCATTTTTATTAAAAACTTGTGTGCATTATAATTCTATTAAGTATTGATACACTCTATCAGAGAACCCTTTTGAGTAGAGTCTAAGTTAAGTTGTATAGTACTGGGGAACTTAAACTTGAGGAGATAGAGCACATGTCACTCACAAATTATTATCCCAAATGACATCACACCATTTCCAACCATCTTATACAACCCATAAGGGGGAGATGAATCAAGGTCTTTAACACATAGCATCTCCAAATACTCAGGATAAACTAATGCTAGTCAAACTACGATTGCTTTTTGCTGCTACAGTCAATGAAGTGACATAGTCAAACTACGATTGATTTCTGTTGCTACTGTCAATGAAGTGACCTGGAAGCTTGAAGGTGCAGAAGTTTTTGTAGTCTTCAGAATCGGGCCGGGTGAAACCACCATTTTCGAGGATCTTAGAGACTTTGAATTAGGAACAGTTCCTCCAGTGAGTAGAAACCCGTTGTGTTTTTTGGTATGCTCATTGACTTTATGTATAGAAATATCAGACTCTGTGCATCGAATAGCCATGTCTTGTGGAGAAGAGTGAACATGTGGTGCTTGGTAGCAACTTTGTTAGCGTAGTGAACTTTGTGGTCACATCCCTGACACAAAGAAACACCATCTGCAACATAAAAGAAAGTGGCTTCCTCTTTATTGCAGACATAACATACACTGGATTTTCATTCTCTGGGGTTAACTAAGATCAACTGCATTAATATCTTCCGCCATATACTTACCTAACTTAAACATGGCCCAAATCTAATAAAGACATGTGCATAATCTATCAGGTTCTACAATTAAAATAAATGGAACATTTGCATGAAATTAAAGTTGGGAAAAAATTAATCAATCCACTTGTTGAGATAGCCTATGTGGGATTCGAACTCACATCTTTCGTGCGGTCACATGATGCTCTTCCAATTGAGCTAATAGGCTGTAAGAAAAAAAATGTAACTTTCCATCTTAAAAAGTAATCACATTATGTTTAAAAGTTTACCATTTTGATCTATTGGTCATTTTACTTATCATGGCTCTAAAATTGCTAAAACTTATAAGTTGTTGACTTTCACATGTAACTTGTCATTTTTAAAGAAAATAGAACTGATATTATAAACGGTCTATTCTGAATCAAGTTGCTGCAACTTTTAAGATAACTCCACCTTGTTCAATTAACAAACATACTAATATAACATTATAACAAAACCAATAACTTCTATACAGTATAGCATAACTTGTAAGTTAACCACCAGAAAATATTAGTTAAAAGTATCACAATCACCAAGAAAAGGAATGTGAAATTATACAATAGCAAGTAACTTCTGAATCATAAATATATACGAATACAATAAAATGAAAAGTAATGAAAATTATAAAAAATGAAATTATTACCATGTTGACCATCATTATGTGGATCATTCTCATTTTGCCTCACTGTCTCATACGTACTTGTTATCGTCATATATAAAGGTAAAAAGAACCATTTTTAGAACACACAAATAGAATTAGAATCATAACTTTTAGCAAGATATTCACAACCTTTAATAAAATACTCATAACTTTTAACGTAAGTAGGTGCACTTCCAACTGTAACTGTTAATCCTTACCAACAATTGTCAATAGAGAGAAGCCTGAAACGGAAAATGCATCAACTCACACTTTCTCAATGTCACTAATAAGTTAAATAATTTCTCCTTGTTGTTCCAAAAAATAAAAATAAAGTAAATAATTATTTTATCGTAAGTGTTTACAATCTACAATTCTATTGAGAGAGGTTTAAGAAATAATTACTTTTACTCCAATTCCTTAACTTGTAAACCCCAAAACATAACTTTTAAACCCAAAGGCTTAACTTTTACTAAAACTCTCAAGACCTCTAAACCATGAGTATAATTTATAATTCAAGAATCACAACTTTTAAATCAGAAAGGATAACTTTTACTAAAAATGCTAAGACCTCTAAAACTTAAGTTCTTATATGTACTTTTTTTAACAAAAATGTAATTTAAGAATTGCTATCACTTTTAAATAAAAACATCTAACTTTTAAATCAGAACGTATAACTTTTACTAAAAACCTAGGATCTGCACAACTTAAGAATTTACTATAAATATACCATTTATAAAAGTACCATTTTTTTAAACCAATGGCCGATATCCACCAGCACCCCTCTATCTCTCAGATGGTTGGTTACTAGATATACCTTGGCTGAGTGCTTCTCAAGATGTTGCAACTATATATTGGGGAGTGCAAAATTATGGTGTCTATAAAAAGGAAGAATAGAAACTACACCAATGCAGGATTATAGTCATCCAACTCTTCAGGGATCAATCTCTGATATTTGCACATGATTCAATAGCAAGTTTTGTTATTCGCTTTCTGACCTTTCTCATGGGTAGAGTTTCTGCTACAGTTTCCAACACTTTAAGAAGAAGAGCGTTAACATAATTTTTCATTGAGAAATTTCAACAAACAACTGGTAGGTGCAACATAAAATCATATGTATAGATCAAACAGGTCTTCATATATATGAATACACTTGGAAAACCACATACTTATTCAAGACGACATACAAGGTTTTCTATCTTAGTTTTATAGCCAGACACATAATTTTTCACTTCGTGCGTTATAATTCTAAAATAACCTAATTATATAATTTTAATAATTGTTTCTCACTTCATTATAATCGTCTTCAACAAATCTGGATGAAAATCTATTAGTTAACCTAAATCGATGACTTAGAATGTATTTTGAAATTGGTTGAAATAGGTAAGAATCGAATCAAAGGTTATAGATTTTCGTAAAATTACCTTTGAAGTTGCAAGCCGAAGTTCATACAAGTTTGTGGTTCATCTTTGTTCGGTTGAACTGTTGCACTTCATTTGAGGTTTTTCAATTCGTCATTGCGTGATTGAACCTCGCTAGAGGTGTTGCGATTATCATCGTTGCACGATTGAACCTTGATGGAGTTGTTGCAATTATCATCGTTGCGCGATTGCACTTCGTAGAAGTTATTAGGAAGATGCTATGTCACCATTTTAGTTGCAGAGATAAGTCGTAGAAGTTCTGGATTCTAAGCGGAAAGATAGGACGCCGAAAGGTCATTAATAAAAATTGGCTGGCCGCCAGATTTGTGAAGATCGGACAATCCATATTACTTCTTACTTTTCAGCCCAAACAGGCTTCTCACCAGATCTATTCCCTATATATATATATATATATATATATATATTACATGTTCAAGTTTGGAGTACTTATATCACACTCCATTAATATTTGGGTATTTAAAATATTTTTGAAATACAGCGAACAAAAGTTATTTGGGTAATTTCCACTTTATGTTATCCCAAGTCCCAACAACACTCAATTGGAATCATTGGATTAATAAAATGATGAATGCAATATTCTTATTTGTCCACATGGATAAACTATGGATAATGAGAGTACCATAAGATTACTCCTTATTAAGTTTATGATGTTTTCAAAAACATTATTGCTAGCATTCAGTACAGACGTTACGACTCTGATTTAATTTATTTACTTGAAAAAGTCTTCAACATTTTTGGTAATTCATTTAATTATATTTCATTATTCCACAAGTTCAAAACGTTCGGTATGTAAATGCATCATGTCAGAGTCGGGATCTACACATCCAAACTTGTATCCATCCACTTGTAAAAACGAACCAGTAACTAAACAACCGCCAAAGCTACCGATTTTGTTATTAGACCCATACACATGGTGTAATTTAACACTGTCAAAGTCACAATTGCTTGGAAGGGGTCTAAACGTTCTTAAGAAACAGTCTTTTTTCATTGGTATGTAATATATTGTGCTTTACAACAAGGTACTATTTGAAATTCATTTAAATAAACTAATAAGCACAGTATAAGATAATATGTTTTGCTGAACCTGTGGTATTTGTGTATCTCTTTGAGGGGGGGGGGGGGGGGGGGGGGGGGGGATGTGTAAGTGTTTGAGGGAAATGATGATGCCTGCACAGATAACTCACCTGGTCATCAGGAAGCTATCGAATCATAGCAGCGCGGTGTAAGAGTCATCCAATGTGATGGTCAACTCTCAGATGAACTGTGTAAAACCATACCGTCATTTACACACGAACTATTAATGGTGCTGATATTGTTGACTGAAACAGGACGGTCAGGCGGTCAGCACAGTCAATGATACTCCTAAATAATTATTGACTGAAACTATAAGTAACAATCAAATGGTCATTGACATGAAGCACAAGCTTTACTACTCCATATATATTTGTATATTTCCCAATGAATTCAAATGTGGTGCTACCACAAGATCAAACTGTATATGTCCGTGATGAACCTTCGTTGGTTTCTACAATTCTACCCACATTATGAGTATACTAATTTAGGTAGGAGTACTATTTAAATTGTTGCAATGGTCTGGCACTGTTAACAAATGTTGCGCTTCTGTTAAAGTCCCCAAGTACTAGAATTCTCACTGCCTCCAAGCCATTTTGTAATGTTAAATCAAGCTGAAAAGAAGACATATTCAACATATCAGAAGTGAGAACCTTGGTAAGGTACATTTGTCTAAGAAAATCTGTACTGTGAATTATTTTTTCATTAAATACGATTTGAGTCAACCCACTCAAATAAGCTATATATAGGATGACTGGAATCTGAACTTCATGAGAAAATAATAAAGGAGAAATTCAAATTCAGGTGGGGGTGAAATTACTTGGAATAATTACTTGATGGTAAGCTTAGAAATAGGCAGGAAAAGAGAGAGGGGACAATGATGTTTAAGACTAAAATTCCCTTTTACAGGAACAAAATACAGAGTAATAAATGGCTAGGGTGAACACTGGACGGTAAACAAATTTCAAGCACATCCATTTCTCCCACAATCAACATCATCATTACCCAAGTGCTGGAAAGGCTCCCACCTACGGTGAGGTAAGAGGTGAGATTGGATGTACGCGGTCTCACCCAGTACTAAAGCACAAAAAGCCTTCTCCCCTAATCAACAAGAACAAATAGTACAAACGATTTGGTCAATTACTCGTCATTTATTGTGTGAGTTCAAGAAAAAGCTTTTCCATGGAGAAATTATTTCCACCGTGCCAATAATTAAATAAGAGAAAAGAGACAAATAAGCCCTCGACCAATCCTTTTTTATCTACTCATGCTAGTAATTTCTCATGACAAAGTTATCTCCAAAAAATGATATGATTGCTTAACAAAAAGGTGGTACTTAGCACATACCTCTGCACGTTCTTCTCTATTGAATGGGCGAAGAACATAACTAGCAGGATCCATTCTCCCCGGCGGCCTTCCGATTCCTAATTTAAAAAAAAACAATATTGTGCAAAATCATGTGAAACTGAGTATTTAACCCTTTTAATCTTCTGACTATTATGTCAGTGACACTTTTGATACTAAAAACTTCCATTTTTAATCCTTCAACTATTGTGAAAAAGACGCTTTTGGTACCCGTCTTTGAAATTTTACATATTTAGAGTCTGTTTGGTGACTCTGTTTTTCGGCTTATAAGCTTATAAGTCAACTTTTTAACCAAACACGTAACTTTTGATTTCGCGCGCTGAATTGTGGTAATAATAATAATAAAAAAGTAAGGCTAGAGTTACTTTGTTGGCTGTATTGTCTGAAGTTACTTTAGAGGACCATTTTAACTATTTTTTCATATAATTTATTTTTATTTTACTAATAAAATATATTTTAAATATAATTTTTTCATGAATCAACAGAATCAGCCAATACAACCACTTCAACCAGAACATAAATTTCAGCAGAAACTACCGATTCATCCGATTTCAGTGTTACCAAACGAGCTCTTAGTCCTTCAACTTTCATAAAAGTGACATTTTTTATCTTTCAACTATTACCGTAATGACATTTTTAGTCCTTCACTAATTGTTCCAAAATCAGAATTAAATGACTACCAGTGTCAATTTGACAATACTCGGAGGTTAAATGTAGAAATTTGGAAATCGAGCACTAAAAGTGTCTCCCGCACAATAGTCAAAGTACTAAAAATAGAGAAATTAAAAGTCGAATATCAAAGGTGTCACTTAAACAATAATCAGGGACTAAAAGTATCAAAAGTTCTATGAAAACTACAATATTTTTAAAAGTACCAATTCTCAGACGAGGGAAATCACGGCTTCCCTTTAGGCGATCAATCACACTCTTCATCCTGAAAACAAGGAAAATAGTGGGAACAAATTAAGAGTGCAAAAACACATCCCTAACTGCAGTTCTGAATCCAATGTAATAGAATAACTGCAGAGAGTGAAAAAGGATAGAAGTAGAATATTCTCATTAGATTGATATGAAGTGTACACAGAGTTTATATAGGAGAATACTCAACAGAACTTGAACTAATAACTGAACTGCAACAGACTATTACTTATTACGATTGTGATTGTGTACAATATGCCAAACATTCCCCCCTCAGACTTAGGGTGATTGTTTTGGAAGAGTAATCACGCTAAGTTTGGTTCTCAAGTCAAGAAAAGATGAAGCAGGCGATGGTTTAGTTAAAACATCAGCAAGTTGGTGTAGAGCAGGAATGTGAAATACTTCAAGTTGCTTCAACTGAACTTTCTCATGAACAAAAAACAGATCAAGCTCCATATGTTTGATGCGAAAGTGTAGCACATGATTATGCACTAGTTGAGTAGTGCTGAGATTGTCACAATAGACCTTTGGAGTGACCAAAGGAACTTGAAGTTGATGAAGAAGAAACTGAACCCATAGAAGCTCTGCTGTGGGCCTAGCAACATGCAGCTGTTTCTTGGACCACCATGAAATGATATTTGGACCAAGAAAAATGCAGGACCCTAATGTAGATCTTCTATCAGTGGGATCACAAGCCCAACCAGCATCACAAAATGCTGAAATGGGTAGAGGGATGGTAGATAAAGAAATAGGTCTAATAAGAATTCCATGTGTGATAATGCCAGAGAGGTAGTGTATGATATGCTCGACTGCTTTCCAGTGCTGCTGCAGAGGTGCAGCCATGAACTGACAAACCTTATTTACAGCATGGCTTATCTCAAGTTTAGTTAGGGTAGCATATTGCAAGATTCCTACTATAGATCTGTAAGAAGAAGGCTGAGGCAGTGAATCACTTCCTTCATGAATGAGCTTGCAGCTACTAACCATTAGTGTTTTAACCCCTTGGAGTCTAGCATGCCAACTTGATGGAGTAAATCTCTGACATATTTAGCTTGAGATTAATGCAGGCTGCCATCTTGAAGTTTATGAACTACAATTCCTAAAAAGAAATCAATATCTCCCAAATGTTTAAGAGACCTGAAAAGGTTGAATGCAGTTTGTGAATGAGTTGTGGAATAGAAGCAGAATTGTTTCCAATGACATGGATGTCATCAACATAAATCAGGATGTATATTTGGATATCAGAGGACTCAAAGATGAGTAATGAAGGATCACACTTGCTTTGTTTGAGCCCAACATTGTATAGTACTGTAGTGAGCTTGTGAAACCAGGACCTAGGGGCCTATTTCAGACCATACAAAGATTTATGGAGTCTGCAAACCAAAGAGGTATTTTTTGCTAGAAATTCCAGGGGCTGTACCATGTAAACTTCTTCATCAAGGTCCCCATTATGGAAGGCATTATTGACATCCAGTTGTTGAATAGACCAATTATTTGAGACAGCAAGATTAAGGATAAATCTGATGGTAATAGGTTTAACATCTGGAGAAAAGGTTTCTCCAAAGTCAAAACCAACCTTTGATGACAACATTTTGCAACTAATCTTGCTTTAAACTTGTTTAAAGAACCATCTGGATTTTCCTTTACTCTGAACACCCATTTATAGCCAAATGCTTGTTTATCTGGGGGGGAGAGGAACAATTGACCATGTATTCTTAGAAATTAAGCATCATATTCATATTTCATAGCTGCAAACCACTGAAGAGAGGACAGTGCTTGCTTGACTGATTTGGGCTCTATATGAGCTAACAGTAAGGTGGGATTAAGTCTAGGTTTAAGAATTCCAGATTTGGCTCTAGTTTGCATAGGGGGGGTGTTAGTCAAAGGATCAAAGGAACAATAAGTGAAGAAGATGAAGATGAAGATGAAGTGGATGTTATAGGAGAATGAGATGAAGCATTAGGAGATAAATCGGTCTGTAATGGTGGTTATGAAGGGACAGAATGAGATGAACCAAGCTGTAATAATGGTTCTAAAGAAACTGACTGAGATGAAGAGGATGAAGAAGTATTATGAGATGTTGATGAGTTAGATTGAGAGGAATCGGGAAAGGTTGGTGATGAATTTGCATTAAGAATAGCTATAGGGGTAGACTGTGAAGGAGAGAGTATTGGACTGATCGGGAATAGATGAAAAGAGAATAGAATATGGAAATTTAAACTCATTAAAAACAACATCTTTGGAGATAACCAGAAGGAGAGAAACATTTGTAACGTTTCCTGATTCCTCTCAATCTTCTTCATCTTCTTCACTTTCCCAGAAGGAGAGAGACATTTGTAACCCTTGTGTTGGGAAGAGTAACCTAAAACACACATTCTTCAGAGTGAAAGTCAATTTTGTGTTTATTGTAAGGTCGAATGAAATAGAATAGGAACAACCAAATACTCTGAGAAAAGAATAATCTGGAACAGATCCATAAAGCTTGAAATATGAGCTCGAGTTGGCAATTGACTTAGAAGGAGTTCTATTTGTAAGATCGACTGAGGTAGCAAAGGCAGTGTCCCAGAACTTGTGAGGCAAGGAAGAATGAGCTAGAAGTGACGAGCCTTTTTTCAACAATGGTGCAATGTTTTCTTTCCACCACACCATTTTGATAATGAGTGTGAGGGCAAATGATTCTATGTGTGATTCTTTTTTCAGTTAAGAAGTTTGGGAAGGATCTAAATTCACCTCCCCAATCAGATTGAATAGATTTGAATAGATTTGATACTGATTGAGAATGTACCGATAAAAGTTTTGAAATGCTAAAAGAACATCAGACTTCTTTTTAATGAAGTAAATCCATGTATATCTTGTAAATGCATCGATGAAGGAGATATAGTAAGAATAACCATCGAAGGACAAAATGGGAGCTAGTCCCCACATATCACTGAATATCAATTCAAAGGGTAAGTGAAAAACAGTGGTGGAGGGAGAGGATGGTAATCTATGTGCTTTGCCAAGACAACAAGAAGAACAAAAATCAATTTCATTCTTTTTAACAGTAGGAATATTACAATGTTTTAGTAGACTTTAGAGCCTCAAGATGAGGATGACCAAGCCTTAAATACCACAGATAACAAGATATAGAACTAGTACAAGACTGAATGTTATTACAAGTGGACTGAATGAGGGGATACATAGTTTTATTCAAAATAGGGTATGGAAGTAGATTTATTAATAGCAGCAGATTGACAGGGACCAAGGGCTGGAAAAGGCTGAAACTTGTAAAGACCATCTGCACCCAGAATTCCATGCAACAGAACCTTCTTAGAAGCCTGAGATTTGACAAAGCATTCATGAGGATAAAACTCAAAGAAGACATTGTTATCTTTGGCAAATTGACTAACATTAAGCAAATTTTTGGTTATAGAAGGAACATGAAGAATATTATTAAGGAAAAGAGTATGAGAGGGCTGATAAGGGGAAGAAAAGGAAGAGAAATCAATAGACTTAATATCCAAACCTTGATGTGTTGTAGATTAAGTGGATCAGCAGTAACATGATGTAACATGATGTGTTGCTCCTGAAGCAGGTCCTAGTATAGAGGAATCGGCAGATGACCAGGCTGCAGTAGGCAAGGAATTTGGGACAGCTGACTCCAACTTGTTGTAGGTGCATAAGGATCGGGTGGAGATGTGATAGGAGCATGAAACATCTGGCTCCAGGCTACATGAGATGTATGAGAGGGAGGATGAGATTTGTGACCCCAGTAAAGTTGTCTGAAAAGTTTTGTTGTGGATTGATAGGAGGAAATTTTGGTTGAGTTGAGATAGTTGAAGTCTGAAGAATATAGGTAAACCTGCTGGGAATGAAATTGATTTGATGTGCCAGGAATGGGAATGGGAGTAATGTATGCAGTTATAGCGATGATTTACCAGAGAATTACGACCTCCAAAACGACCACCACGTCCTCCGAAGAAACCTCCACGACCTCTGCCTCTGTAGGGAGCAAGCTATTTGGATTAGAGAATTGAGCAACATAAGCATATGAATTTTTTGTAGTAGTTTGAGATGTAGAATCATTATTTGAGTTGAGGTTTCTAAACGAGCAACATGGCAGAGAACATGTTTTGTTGTGATGAATCACGAAGTTTCCGTAATAGAATTTCCTTGGCTAGCACTAGAGCTTCAAGCTCAAAAAGAGTTACTGGATCCACAATGCTTCGTGTAGATACAGATGATACAAGAGCCTCATATTCTTCTGGAAGTCCTTCAAGGATGACATTAATGTGATCCTTGGTGGAGATAGGTTCTCCTATGGCCGTAAGACTATCAACGATAGTTTGAATACGCAGAAGATAGTCGAAAATTGAACGATTACCTTTGCCGGTGTTGTAGAGCTCAGATTTGAGTTGACGAGCTCATGCGACAATATTTTACTGGAAGAGTTTATATGAATGGCGACAGTTGAAGACGCGAGCATGGAGCGATTCAGTAAGTGATGCGAGAAGCCATGAAAATAACATCAGGTCTTGTTGTTCCCAGATAACGTAGTCTTCGTTCACTGTTTTGATCTCTCCATCATCGCCAGCAATGATGGAATATTAGGGTTTGTTTACTAACAGAGATTTTCCAGTTTTCCAGAAAAATGGAAAACTGGAAAACGGAAAACATAAAACGTGTTTACCAAAAAATGCTGGAAAACTGGAGAAAGGAAAATAGAAAAATGCGTTTACCAAATCGTTTTCCAAAACCAAAAAATGAGATGTCTCTGTTTTCCTTAATGAATTGGAGAAGTGACTTTTACTAGTTTTCTAAATTTGGAAAACGCGGATGATCCAATGAATTTGCATACTTGCGCAGTTACGCCGAGTTGTGGATCGGGTCAACGACCCGACAGTCCCTATCTGGTCCAGTCAACGACCTGACGGTCTCGGTCCGGCTGATGACCCGACGGTCCCTGTTTAGTCTGATCCACGACCCGGCAGTCCCTGTTCGATCCGGTCCACGAGCCGACGGCCCCTGTCCGGTCTG